AAACCCCCGAGGCCACGTAACGGCAGCCCTTATATCTGTCTAGAACAGTGACAGGTTTATTTTTTTTTTATCCCATTTTCAAGTTTTCCAATCTTTAGGTCCAACCCCAATTAAATGAGGTTTATTACCAGCATAATTAGCTCTAAGTAGACTCTTTGTCAAGATTAATTTAGACCAACATCAAAGCCATTTTCCTTGGATATTGGCTTAATGCCTGCACACCTGACTAACAGCAGATATGAATCACCATATATCCCCTAGCAGTGTGGGTGGTTGGAAAAATTTGTTAAAAACAGAGTTTAATGGGATCAGTATTATAAGGCAATGTAAGTACAAGCACATGAAATAAACCTTTATTGCATAAAATAAGCACATAAACTGAAGCTATTTTATAACGTGAACAGAGCACCTGCACATGTCACTGCTGCAATAAAAAATTCCCTAAGGGAGCAATCTGCAGATCTAAATCTCCTCTTCCAACCAGCAGGCGTTTCTTTCAGAGCAACAGTCATATTAAGTAGGAGGAAGATGAAATTCCTTCCGTTTTTCTCTGAACAATGACTTCATGAGCAGGACCAAATTTCCCATGAGGAACAATAACAGGGGGGAAAAAAGGGGCGGGGGGTGTCACATGGCAAACAGTCACTCTTGGCTGTATACGCTTCTTTAATACCAGACTGAAACACTACCAGCATAACACTCAGTGTGTTTTGATCATGCCTTGATAGATGGCATCAGATCTAATCGCTGACCTTTTCTCTTTTTTGGTGCTTGAATAGATTCATCCAAGTTAAACAAGACCAGACATTTAGAGTTGTTTTAATCACTACTCATTAACTATAACAGTCACCTGTCTTCTTTCACAAAACTGTTCAACAATGCTGAATTGGCTCGCAGGTTAATATTTAGCTAGATTGGCTCCACTGGTTTGGAAATTTCACCACTTTCATTTTAGGAAAAGAATTTTTCCACATAAAAATATGACCCACAGGTTGGGCAAAGGACAATTCAGATTAAAAAAATCTCTTTGTGCAGCTATAACCATACAAAACTTAAGGCAGTGATACAAACTTCACCTCACATAATCACTGTATTTATGTTAAATAAGACCAAGCAGGTGGAAAAAATATGGTTCCCAGGGAGGGCGCCAGCATAGATGGAGTCCCATTCCTTCTGATTCCAAGGCTGACTTTGCTGAGTAAATGGAGCAAGCTCTAATGCTCCTGAAATGAATATCAGTGTCTTGACCAAACTCATTTAGAGATCAGTCAGGGCCTTAATCCCTCTCTGCAGGGGTGGGTGTTTGTGTCTTTCTCTGGTGTCCCAGCTTCCTTTTGGAAGAAGGTAATATGGCTAAATTTGCTTTGCTAATGGGCTTAGCGCAAGCTGTTACAGAGCAGAGTTGACACACAGCAGCAGGCTTGGATACCAGTGGCTTTTAATCTGACAGACTGATGGAGTAAAAGGCAGGGTGGGTGATATTTACGAGAAGTTTAGAGATAAAAGGAAGACTGTGGAGGCTATTTATCAATGGCATGCTGAGGTCCAAGAGCTAGAAGGGGATTTTTTTTTTCTTTTTGCAGTTGAATTTTCATTTAGTTGTGTTTGGCAATAGTGGAAATACAGTTTTAGCTTGTTCAGATTTTACATTTCTTTTTAGGTGAATATAGCCACGCAATCCACGTTTTCCTATTGCAGGCTGATGCGCCTGACCTTAATAGGAGACCAGTTCAGACGGCAGCTTCAGGGAGTGTGTAATCTGAAATCCCACATAACAGACAATAATTCTCCACTGAGTTGGTTTATTTTGAGAACTGGTAATGACAAGTAAAAGCATTTTAACAAGAACAAGAGTAGGAAAAAAAATCAAAGGTACAAACAGCATAAGCAACAAAACAGATAAGCCCACGGCTGAGAAATTCACGTTTGTTAAAGGTTTGCAAACTAAATGGATTATTTTTCTTTCGAGAGCTCTCATGTCTCCGTGGTTTATTTCAAAGTTACCCTTATTGTTGGTTTTGACTCGGTGGATGCTATATATCACTTTTGCAAATTTTACGAGACTTTAATTGTTTGCACTTTGACAATTTACATGGTGACTCTCCCTGAACGTGTACTCTGTGGGAGTTTACTTCCTTTACTGTGGCATCAGCCACAGCTGCTGATAACCTGCTGCTGTGTCCTCCCATTTACCAGCTGTGGCAGGTAAGCATTATGGGTGTCATAATCAAGATTACACTTGTGCTACAGCTTACAAACCTTCATAAGTGTACACTTTTAAAGGCCACCTCCTATTAAAGGGCTGTTTTCATAAAGCCTACTCTTCATAAAACAGACATTTTGGCTGGGCAGATTTTATGCACGCTCTTCTCTCCACATTATCTAACTTCGATTTGATTAAAATCTCCAGCTGACAGTGGAGACAGAGGGCTGCAGAGACGGCACCTTGAAAGCCCGGGCAGACAGCAGAGCTGTTTCGGCTCTCAATACAAGTCACCTACCCCCATGAAACGAATCATTCTGGGCCAGTGACCCTCAAATAAGAGACTCAGTCAGATTCCATTTTGCCCCACGCCTGTCAGCGCTGTGTGTGTTTTAACTGTTTTGAGGGTCAGTATCTCCATTAGACTTATAGAGCTTCTTATAGAGCCTACACCAGCACAGTCTAACCTCAGTTCTCTGCACATTCATGCACAACTCTGATGGAGATCATTGCAAAACTAAAGCAGCTGTCATTTTAGTATCTTGAGAAACAAAGGAGAGGACCTGTTTGAAAAGGTAACCATGACTTAAATCATGATTTTTTTTTTTGCATATTTGTTTGATTAAATTACTTAAAATGAACTAATGTCTGCTGCAGATTTAAGTGGCATACACACCTGTTACCATGGGCTTGTGTGACAGAGAGATCTTTCAGATTTTATGCTACGCCGAATAGTTACAAACTTTTAAATCACGTCTCACTTCATTTGCAGTTCACAGCATAGAAGTTTAATGTGGCTTTTTGTGTTTCTTTTTCTCTCTCTCTCTCAGGACCAGTTATGTCAAACCCAGTGGGCAGAGTACCAGAAACCACATCGTATGGGTCTCGGATTGGGATGACAGAGGACTCCCTCTCCATCTTGGAGCAAAGCAGAGGCTGCGAAGACCCCTGGGAGATGGGGGAAACCAAACCAAACGTGGAAGCCCTGGAGCGGGGCATGCCAGGCGTCTATCTCTCCTGCTTCGACATGCTCCTCACAGAAGATGCTACTTGGCTGGTGAAAGTTTCAGAGGCCTCTTCAGCACTGGCTTTACCCATGAACCGCGTAGAACCCCGGGAGGAACCGGAGCAGTGCCCGGTCATTGATAGCCAGGAACAGGGGATCTCTCCTGGCCTGGAGGGGCAGGAGGAGGAGCGATCCCTGGAGCAGGTGCAGAGCATGGTTGTGGGAGAAGTACTGAAGGACATTGAAACAGCCTGCAAACTGCTCAACATCACCCCAGGTAGGCTGCTTTCCAGCACACCTGCAGCTGTGGCGAGTGTATTACAGCGTATAACTGACAAAGAAGCTGACCTTAAACAAAACATATTTCATCTCCCCCAAAATGCTGAAGTGTTTCTCTGTATTTGCAAATATAGAAGTATTCATTCAGATACTTAAGCTACTGGATCTTACTCGCAAAATCAACACATATTTGTGTGGACACAGGATGACAGAACTCCTAAATCATATCCTTACTGACGCAAAGCTGTGTTTGCCTGCTCCAGGATCTGTTTAATCCTGACCTTTGCAAAGGTACTCCTGGATTGTAATAGTGATGGTTCTTGCCTGCCAGTAGACGTGTACACAGTCTTAAGGGCGAGGCCTCTCCTGCTCATAAAGCAAACAGAGGAAGCGTTTTTCATGTATTGTATGGCTTCTAGCTGTTATAAACCTATGCAATCCCCAATCGTCTGTTCTACTGATTAAAACTGTTGTGGCATAAAAGCTTGATTATCTTGTGGTTTCAGCAGATTTATTATGAGTCAAAGGCAAACAAAATACAGACAGGGTAAAGGTGAAAACAATATTGATATATAAATGACTTATCTTGATCCATATGACATTAGTGTCACTAAAGAAATGGTCCGAGATAAGGTCATTTATTGCATTGGCAGCTGGAAGTTTTCTCACTGATTTCATATCTATTTCCGCCTGCAGATCCGATAGAGTGGAACACTGGGAATGTCCAGAAGTGGCTGCTCTGGACTGAACATCTCTACAGATTGCCCCATGCGGGAAAGGCCTTCCAGGAGCTGACGGGAAAGGATCTGTGCGCCATGAGCGAGGAGGAGTTTCGCCAGCGTTCCCCGCAGTGTGGAGACACGCTGCACGCACACCTGGACATATGGAAGTCAGGTAATATTTATTGTGCAACCTGCTGCACCCCCTGTGATGATTTTATTATCGGATATTTGGCTGCTGTGAACTTTTGAGCGGGTGCAAATTTTATTATTGCGTTCATGTGTGTTTGGGTGGGATTATTTGAAGTTCTGGCCTTTTCTTTAACTTTTCTGCATCTGTTTACTTTCCAGCTGCATGGATGAAAGAGCGGTTTTCCATTGGAGAGACTAAAACTACAGGTAAGATTCTTATGTTTGCATAAGCTGTCATGCAAGTTGCATTCACACAAAAAAATCCAACGCACAGTATAATTTTAACACTGTATTTTACATAGACGCTAATAACTATATGCTGCAGAATTTCAGTGAAAAATCAGGCTTTTGCATTGTGTATTTTCAGTGTCCTGATTAAAGGGCTCCTTGATCTTTTGGTCCCTCACGGTACAGAGCTTTTTCATTGAAACAATGCACAAGAACCCTGAGGATTGAATGGTTTTGTTTTGCTGTGCAGGCAGCGAGGAGCTATGGTCTGAGGCAGATTCATCTTGCTCAGGTCAACCAATTCATCTGTGGCAGTTTCTCAGAGAGCTCCTGCTCAAACCCCACAACTATGGACGTTGCATTCGCTGGCTCAATAAAGAAAAGGGTACTTTCATTTTCATTTCATTTCTTCTTTATTTGCTCTATTTAGTCCTTAAACAAATGAATAAAACTTAATTTACCTGGTGTTTTTAAATAAAAGCAGAAAAATGTGTATGACATTGTGCTATTACAATTTAAGTGCTTTCTTCTTTTATTCTTCAGCTTAAAACAAAATGTTTTTAAAAAAATTTTACATTTCAATTTTTGTCGCAACTGCTTTTATCTCTTATTAGTTGATCTACTGTTTTATAGGCTCATCATACTGCTTTGATGCTCCAAAATCTTGACACATTAATTTAAAAAAATCAAAAAACAAACAGGAAATATTTTGAATGAGAGTAAAAGTTTTCAATAAATTTGCATTATTACAATTTAAAAGTAATAATTGTAGGACAACACTACATAAGGGGGCTATGTGTGTGAAAATTAGTAGAACAAATATAGTTATTTCATTCACTGTTCTTATTTTAAGGCAGATTTAAATCAGAACCTCCCTCCTTTTTTTCACAACCTGTAGTGCAATGGTACAAATTGGTACAAACATTACATCATACATCATTAAAGCGTATTTAAAGTGAAACCGCAATGGAATGAATGCCAGATGTATGTCAGGGTTTCGCTTATTTGGTTTGTTGATGCCTGAAAGGCAAAAAGCATGCCAAATGAAATATGAGTCCAAGTGGCGGACTTTTTATGTGTGCACATAAAGTGTAATCATCCACTGTTTTGCACGTGTTGTGTTGTGTGGTAATAACGGCTTTTGATTCCCACCAGGTATTTTCAAAATCGAAGACTCTGCTCACGTGGCGAGACTGTGGGGACAACGAAAGAATCGACCTGCAATGAACTACGACAAGCTGAGCCGTTCCATACGTCAGTACTACAAGAAAGGCATCATCCGCAAGCCCGACGTGTCTCAGAGACTGGTCTACCAGTTTGTTCACCCAGTATGAGACTGCAAGCAAAGTGGGAGGAGAAGGCAGAGGACGATGAGATGGGAACTACAAAGACAAACTGTGTCACCATGCACCTGAACACCTAATTCCTGAGATGAAAAGGTGACATGGAACATGTGCACTGAATTACCCCAATGGTACACACCTGACTGCCAACACTGAATAACAGCTGGCAGCTGCTGCAGTCTTATCGGTGCAAAGCCAGACAGGAAGAGACAAAAACAGTGTAGCTGTTGAGGCTTTTTCCTGCTGCAAAATTAAAAAGACAACAGAATAAAAAAAACATAGACAAAGCAAAACAGAAAAACAGTACATGAACTGCCTTATTATTTGCATGATCTGCCTGTTGATGTTTCCCTAATGTAATTTCCAAATATCTTGAGCTCAAATCAAAGCGTTACAACTGATGGCTCTTCGGTAAAAGCGTCTACAGCTGCACTGGCTTTGTCTGAACAGGAAACTCTTCTTATCTCATCTTGAAGCACCTGAGAAATGGACTTCCTCTTTTTAGGAATTGCCTCAAATCCTGCTGTGGAAGTGTACTAGGGACCCTTGTATATATGTTTGTTTTCTAATGTATAACTTCTGAAGTGTGATGCATTCCTCTTTGAATACCTTTATATAGTTTACCCTGCCTGGTCCATTTACACAGCCGTATACTGCAGTTAATGCTGTGGGTCTTTGAAACCCAAAGTTTTCAAAATGTAATAAACCAAAAAGACTTGAAATGAATAATCATATACAAATGGAGACAAAATATGCAAAAAAATAAAGTTTTATCTGAGAATTGACGTGACATGTTGCACAAATTCATCATTCCTGGAATATGAAATGATTTTGCTCAGTCATTGCACTGGTTGGCAACTTGAAACACGGGATAAATTATTAAAACTTTTTTTTTCATTCTGTTTTATTAGTTATTTATGCATCTTTGGATGGCAGAGAGCTGGAGCTCCCAGCTGTCATAGGATCAGAGAACACCCTGGACAGGTTGCCAGTCTGTCACCAACTAGTCATACTCATTCACACCTGTAGCCAAGTTAGGATCACCAGTTAACTCAGTAGTACCGAATTTCCCAGAGGAACCCACCCGAGGGATTAATAAAGTTTTATCTTATCTTATCTTATCTTAGTATATCCTCAAACACAGAGCCTCTTTAGCTGGGACCTAGCCTAGCAGGGCAAAAATATGAAGTGAAAAATAAGCTGAACAAACATTTTGCTGGTTCTATTATGATAATCCATGATGCATTTTTAATAAGTTGGGTTTTTTTTACTTATAAAGTTGGGCAAGCACAGGGCGAACATGCAAATGAAACACAGAGAGGTCCCAGGCAACCACTAGAAACCGCTGCGAGTCACGGGTTAACTTTTGTTTTTAAATGCTTAATTGTCAAACGATGTCACGATCATTTCATTTCTGTATTTTACGTACATAAGTTTAGATTAGTTATTTAT